ATCGGTGATCATGTCGTTGACATTTGTGCTATAGTATGATCAAAAGAACGAACACAAACATTTTGGGAATAAGTTGCGCAAGCGAACGACTCAGGTGGGACGCGCACTGCGTCACGCTGTTGCCAGTGTGTTATAGAATAAATGAAAAAAAAGAAAATCAGAAAGAAATCGTGCGTGCTTGAGAAATAAATAACGTGGGTGCGGACGACGCACAACCGCACACCTGCACGTGGCCCACATAGCACAGGTCCGCGCGATCGTCTGTGTGTTGGCCAAAAAAGGAAAAGAATCAAGGACCATAGTGCTCACCAATCAAATGCTGCGTACAACAACTCAAACAGAACCTGTTTTAGAATGGAGTATTGAGGACTTATCCTGGTTTCTTTGTGGGATATGTAGTGTTACGTGAAAATGAGCTTTCGTATTCACGCTCAAGTGTTTCAATACCAAGTGAAAGCGGTGTCACATCGAGCAAAAGCACATCAGTAACGTCACCTGAAAACCTCCTGCTTGTGTCGCGACACATAAATCATAGCAAGCATGCCTGGCGAATACGAATAGTAGCTAACCGGCCAGGACAGCTCCTTGGATAGCGGCTCCCATAGCTACAGCTTCATCGGGGTTCACAGCTTTCGACGGGGTGCGACCAAACACCTCTTGGACGGTTTGTTGTACCTTTGGCATACGAGACATACCTCCTACTAGAAGCACCTCAGCAATCTCTGACGGCTTCACCTAAATCGCATACTTTTAAAAGACAATTCAACCCTAGAAACAATGTCTTGGTGACCACTGGCCAGTAAGATAGAGTTATTTTCGCAATTCACCTTCAGAATAACGAAAATAGCATCTAGAAACCACAACAAGTGGGCTGTTTCTCTTCAGGTCATTGCAAACGACCTCTTACAACCTCAACTACGTCAAAACCCCAGCATTTTCCAATGTCTTTGAAATGCTCGTTATTCGAGTCACAAATAATGCAAACTAGACTACAGCAAAGAACACACGCACCTCAGCATCATGCATGGCCTTGCGGCAAGGCTCCACCGTGCGCTTGATAAGGTCCGCGACAAGCTGCTCGAACTTCGTTCTCTAAAAATCTGCAAATCGCAATATCTATCTCACTTAATACCTTTCACAGTTCGCAAAAAAAGACAACAAGTTTAAGCATACTAAGCAAACCTAGTAAGTTTTCAAAGTCATATGTTTTGGTCCAGACGCGTCCATTGTAAGATATGGAAGATTTATGTCGGTCTGGGTGGTGGACGATAAACTCACACTTCGCCTTTTCGGCAGCTTCACGCAGTCGCTGCATTGCCATAGGGTCCTGAATGAGTGAATCTAAGTAAAATTTCGACTAATGGTATCTATTCGATCTTTCATGTGGGTGATTCCTTTCTTTTCACAACCTGACTTGGACTCGCCTGAAGAAGTTGTCAAGATTCGATAACACAGCAAATGAGAAGAAATACACTGATAAGCTCCGTACTACGAATCTTTCTGAAGGGTTAAATTTATAGAAAGACCTTTCTACTTCGTGCATCCACTCCTTGCTCGCGTTTGAATTCAGCAACTAGATGATTGACAAGAGCATGATCGAAATCCTCTCCACCAAGGAAGGTATCACCATTGGTCGACTTGACCTCGAATACTCCTTTTTGAATTTCCAACACTGAGATATCGAAGGTACCACCGCCAAGATCATAGACAGCAATACTGAAAAGCGACTATTCTTAATGAAGTGTAGCACAAAGCTTGAAGCTTCACTAGGACAACCAGCTGACTTGACTAAGACCTACATTTTATCCTCTGTCTTATCCAAGCCGTAAGCAAGAGCAGCAGCTGTAGGTTCATTGATGACTCGAAGCACATTCAAACCAGCAATTTGTCCAGCATCTTTAGTAGCCTAAAAAGTAGTTAAGTACAGCTCACAAAATCAAATAAGAGGTAGGAAGCTGCAAGTTACTACTATAGATTTCAAAATACCTGTCTCTGGGAGTCATTGAAGTAAGCTGGAACTGTAATAACTGCATTGTGCACTGTGGTTCCAAGGTAGCTTTCAGCAGTTTCTTTCATTTTCATAAGTACGAAGGCACCAACCTAAAAAACGCAGCTTATCTGGCTGAAGAAAAAATAAAGAAAAATACAAACAAAAACACTTTTACAAACCTGTGAAGGAGAATACATTTTGCCCTGGGCCTCAACCCAAGCATCTCCATTGCTAGCTTTCACAATTTTGAATGGAACAATCTTTCTGAAACAAACGGTTACAAACGAGGTCACTAACCAAGCACGGTCAGCAACACAAAATTGAGAATACTCACACATCCTTCTGCACTTCGGGATCTTCGAACCGTCTACCGATGAGCCTTTTTGTAGCATAGAGGGTATTCTGCGAATTAGTGACCGCCTGGCGCTTGGCTGGTGCTCCAACCAATCGCTCTCCGTCTTTCGTAAACGCGACCGTTGACGGTGTCGTTCGAACACCCTCCGCATTTTCTATTACCTAAAAATGAAACTCAATGTACTTTGGAACAGCTGCAGGACAACAACATCCCCAAAACTGTCTTTGCTCAATAGCTACCAGAGCTTGCGCCAATTCTGAGATTCCTTGTATTGAAAAATCACACGTATATATTACTAGCTCAGCCTTTTGAATGTGGCGAGATATGGCAGTCGTGATCGGCACGCTTATTTCCTCATCTTATCTTGATGATTTTTTTTTCAAATGCGTCCCAGTCCGATCAATGTGAGTACTAATCAAGGACGCTTATCTCTCAAGAGTGCTATGTAAACCAACGCTGATGTTGATTACTCGAGGCAAGTAAATTTGAATAGAAGTGCTAAGGAATGGAAATGTCTTCCCACCAGAGCGAACTCAGCAACGTTCAGAAGTGAGCAGTTGCCAAACTTCTAAATTGAACTGTTTCTATGGCGATAAGGAGCTTGTAACAAAGGTGACATTACCCTTGTAACAAGCTCCTTATCGCCATAGAAAACACTTCAGTTACATTTCTCTTTTTCAATGGAGAAACAAGGCAGGTCTTCCTGTATTTATTTAATTTATTTTATTTAAACTGCACTTTATGTGCGCACCAAAAGTAGCATTTAAATAAAAGGTGCGTATGATGGATGGAGCTGGTAAAGAACATACGAAAATAATTCAATTTCCAGTGGAAAAGAAGCCTATAGAACGGAAGCAGAAGTAACTGAGCATACCTGACGCTTCCTTCCCCTGAAAATGAACATCTCTTGTAAACGCAACAACTGTCGCAGCCAGGGGGGTACGTATCCTCCCCGAAGGGCTTTGGATGAAAGTCCTTTTGAATTTTCTCTGTCTTCCCATCTGGGATTGCCCTGATAAAGGACCTACATTTAATGTATGTATGTGTATGTAGGTAAAAGTAAACATGCACTGAAAATGAAGAAACTATATCGTTCAAAACAAATAAATTTAAAGGAAACTTTGGATCACTTAGCTTCGGGGAAGCATAGCATACGGACCCAGACCTCCCTCACTGGATGAAACCCGTTCAAGAATATGAATTTGAAGATGCGTAGTTGTGGTAGATTCCCAATAGGTAAAGTGTGGTGAAATGGAAGAGGTCAAAGCTCACAATCTGCTTGAGCTCGCAATGGAAGACAGTTATTGAACTAAATTACAAATAACTTTCAGGGTCAAGTCATTTCATCTTCCAAATTATTCAGGAGCTATAGGAGCTGATCTACCTTAACATAATCTGCATTCATTCTACCTTACTAACTTCACTTTTACCCAAGCTCGTTACTTGCATGACAACTCTACGGAAAAAAATTGAGTAAAACCTTTGCTTGCTTTCCCTCCATAACAGCCACACATGAGTTGGTCGTTCCCAAATCAATTCCAATCACAGCACCACGAATTGCGTCAGACCTGTGAATGAAGATCTTTTCTTTTCTAGTATGAACAAGAATATGTGACTTGATTCCGAGTTGTTTTTGACATTTCTGTGACCTTTGAATTGAGCTACTCGTTGTGACTTACTTCATTCGATGAGAAATGCCATTCAAATACGTGGTTCGTGCGATTAGTCGACTGCACGATGCAGAAGCATTGAAAAATGTCCTAATTGTGGGAATGAGCATGATGCTGCAGAGGTTACCTTAATTTGTGAATCAAATTATGCAGGCAAAAAAGCCACCAACAAGAAAATGAAGAAGCAGTAATCACAAATAGAATGACGGAAGCATACGACGTAAGACGAAAACAAAACAGGTCTATGGGTATTGATGAGTGTTTGGGATGGTTGGCAACTTTGTAAACAGTTTTCAAATTGTTCCACATGAGCGTCCCAGTTAACTGATGCAAAACACCTAAGCAAACCGGTAAGAACAACCTGTGCAGTGCTTCCACCGCCTATCTCGAAATTTCGTCATTTTACACTGTAGTTACCCTTAGGTCCCACAACGAAAGATTGAGTCCTTTAAAGTTTTTTAATTACGGAACACATCTTACAAAATACGTCTGCAGTTTATTTATTCGCTGTTTAGGGTTGAATTAATGTCAGTTCTTTTTTCTTTCGAATATTTTCAAGTGTGGATGAGTTGTAACTATGAAAATGGTTTTTTTTTCGGTTTATATGTATGGAAACGGTTCTTCGCCTTTGGAGTTTCTTTTCTAATGGGAGAAGAATCCCTCTAAAAATATGTCTGCATGAGTTCCCATCTGCCACTTTCCTTTTATAACTTTGAATCAAAGTTGGGTGCTATACAAGTGGGGTGGGCACGCCGCATTTTTTGAACAAAAATGTATGTAAGTGGGACTGCTGCCGCTACTATACTGTCACGAGAATCGGGGAATTCAGGGTGTAGCCAATTTAGGGGGTGGGGGTGAGGGCAGCTCACTTGACATGCGTGAAAAGTTGAGAGCCATCCTATTGTGTAGTTAGCAAAGTTGGAGTCTGTGTCAGGCGAAAACTTCGGTTGGGGGGGGGGGGGATGGCGCGGCGCTCTGCTCGTCTTCTCTCAAGCTTAGTCCAGGGGACGTTCTCATTCGCCGTTATGTGGCAGTTTGGCAAATTTACGCGCATATGCCCTCCCCGAAACCGAGTTTCGACCTGTTCGTTGGGAGGATCATGATGCAGTTTGGTAATGTGTGACTCAGACATCTCTTACCATGTCAAATTGATTGCCACCCCCAACCAGATGGCACATCCTGACCCGGAGTCCCCACTGCTTTCTGGAAGAACTGATTAATGTAGCCTCCCCCTAACTGTCAAACAGACAGACCGAAGATTGCTTAGTGGTTGGAAGTTCAGCAAAATCCGAAACATGGTAAATGTTTTGTGGAATTTTCACAAATTACTTTAGCTCCACGTTACTTTAAAACGTGCTTTCGTAGATTTGAGAGGATACTTGTTTATATCCCGGCGCTGAAGGGATTTAGGACACAGTGTGCCGGGAGGAGCATTTATTAGTTTTGAGAGGGCTCTTGGAACTAAGCTAGGAGAGCGACGAATTCCGGAGAGAATGAAAATTGTTACGCACCGGAGGTACTTTCATATCAGGCTGTAGGTCTTAACAGCGTCTCTGTAATCTGACGCGATGTTAGCCCCACACCTGCCCTTTCGGATGATTTTTCAACAACTTGCATTGTTTTATATGTAGGTAGAATTTGCAAGGAATCACCTCCATATCAAATCGTGTTTCTGAGTATTTCGGATAGCAAGCAGTTTGTCTCTTGGAAGTGTTTAGAAGTAATCGGCTCAATACGAAAGTTTTAAGTGTGAGGGGTTCGCTTCGTCTTCTCGTGAAGTGAAGTTGAAGATGATGAAAACCTCGAACACTAGGAAGACTACGAGGAAATTGAATCGTATGGCAAAGAAGAAGAAGATATCAAGAACTGTAATTGATGGTCTCAAGGATATCAAGGCTAGAAAGTCGAAGGAGTCGCGAAAGCGTGCTGTCAATGTAAGGATCCACGCACTTTCATATCCATTACCACTGTTAAATATTGGGGATCTAATATGTCCTTTTTTTAAAGTTATGTCATTTATCAGTTAACTGGAGGCTCATCCATTTTCCTTAAGTATTTGGCTGATTCTATGGGACTTGAAAAGTTGGGTTTTCTAACGGCGCTTCACTGGCTTGCTTCTGAATGTGCGACTTATCGGTTGTTAACCATGTGCCCACGTCAGTGTAAGAAATCGGGTGCTGGGATACTCAGTTCCGATGTATCCGATTCACTTCAACCTATCCATCCTCTTTGGAGCCTGAATAGTTACGAAACTTCGTTTTACGGAGGTATGAGTCCGATGGATTACCTTTCCAAAATTCTCCCCTGCCGTCTCGCCCGTGATATGGCACTAATAGCGTTTTGAATCTTTGCGTATACTACTAGCTTTACTGCGTTTTGCATTAAACGCAGGCAGCTTCTCAGGGAAACGTTCATGGGCATGAGTGTTTCAGCGACTTCAAATGTTTCAAACCAAGAAGATAGGATAGTTCGAAAAGAGCAAACAGATGTAAAAGCTTCATATATAGGTTAGAAAACAAAGATTTGAGGGAGTTGTGGGAGTCAAGCGTTATCATCTACCTAGTGGTTATGGTTTTGACAATAGTGAGCTTTAGTTTTTATCACGCTTTTATTTATTAAGCTTTTGTTAACCATGGCATTTCAGGTAGAAGACGACTGGGTTGCAGATCGTGAAGCTCAGTATGACGAAGAAGCTGAGGATATCCTTCCCCTGGATATGCTGGATGCGGATATCGACTGGGAAAACAGCGCGTTCGCTGGGGTAAAGCGAAGGCATGACGAGAGTGAGTGTCGCCGTTTTTTGGGATGGTGCAATTTTTCAGTCCTGCAAACCAAATCTGTTTCCTTGGAAGGAGGTGTCGTTACTCATCTCAACAATCTTTTGTTTCTTCCTCACTCACTGATCAAATCTTTTCTTTATTGTTTGAAGTAGTGTTTTATTTATCTTACAATATGACTTTTTGAGTCACCCCCTCTCTTTCACATTCTTCTGTGTTGCTCGTGCAAACTGTCGGGGTCTATAGTAGAATTAATTGCTGGTCTTCTATGAGAAAATCTGTTTTTTGCTGATCGTCCGTGGTATAATTTTTGAGAGTAGTGTTAAGTTTTTTGAGAGTAGTGTGTGCAGAGTTCAAATCGGGAGGCGATGACGATAATATTGATGATGGTGATATTGAAATGAGGAAACGAAAGTTCGATGGGCAGATAGATGATAACCTGGAAGAAATGTTGCCTATAAAATTGAAGGTATGTCCTCATATGCTTCCCTTATCAAATGGTTATGTGTATTACAGTATTGTAGGATGGAACTCTTCTACGACCAACTCGTGAGAAGAAGAAATTAGACAATTCAGATGAGGAGCTGGAACAAGAAAATGAAGAACAAGAAGTGAAGCCCGAAATGGAGGTTCATAATATCGATAGTGTTCCTGGAAGTGAAAATAGATCGCAATTACGTTTTGCCTAATTTTTAAGGACTACTCTGGTTTAAGTGCTACGGAGCTACTTGCCAAGCGAAAAGAGCTTCTCGCTGAATTCAAACTAACTATATCTACCTATGCCCACCAACTCCTTACAAATCCTCAAGAGAATGTGAGTGGGGGTTGTAATGAGTCCTTCTGAAATTTTATTACTATTCAGTTGAATGTCACTCAACGTTCGTCTCCTGCAGAACAGATTTTGAAGCCTCATAAATCTTATTCTAGATATACAAGCTGAGGGATCTATTCCACTTGTGTCAAGGAGAAAAAGTTCGTCCACTGGTACGTGAGAGCGTGCAGAAACTTGCGGTGGTCAGTATGCTTCAAGTGAGTGATCCGTTTTGATGATCTTAAAGCTGTTCAGTTGGTTCCAGGTGAAGCTCGAATTCATTTAAGGTTCTAATCGACATTATTCCTGGTTACTCTATCCGCGAACTCACGGCTGAGGAAAGGAAACAAAAGGTGAAGAAGGAAACAAAACGACTGCAAACATTCGAAGAATCTCTACTACGCTATTATCTGAAATTTCTTCAGTTTTGCGAGAAAACAACAGGAAGTATGATCATTCATTTTCGGGTTCTATTCGGTTTTGCTTTCAGTTTTTTGGATGCATTTTTCTTGGTATTTGGGTGCGAGTGAAACGCTATCATCAACTTACGGTCTCATCATTTTTGATTTGAAGTCCCAAAAAAAAACGGTTCGAAAAAATGGAAAATTACCATAATTAGGTAGCATTTCTATTCGCATCTATTCATTTCGCATCAAGCACATTTCTATAATGCGAGACTGCGCTTCGGTACTTTTGATCCATTCAACTTTTTATTCAGACCCTTCAAATTATATATTTAAGAGCTTGATACTAAGGGACGGAAGCTAGCGGAGGACTCTTTCTCCTATAAACTGGGAATGTTGTGTTTGAAGTCAATGAGCAGACTTGTCATTTCTGCACCTCATTTCAACTACGCCACTAATATATTGTCGTCACTAGTTCGTCTCTCGTTATGTGGTATTCCGGCTGTCAGTGTTTCTTTTTTTTTTTCTTTAAAAGAATAATTTGCCGTAATGACACTATCTGAATTTCGTAGAAGTAGTTGTCTGAGGTGTGTGACACACTACACAGAGTATTTCGTGAGGATCTACACTTAAGGATGTCATTGTTCGGTGCGCGAAGCATCGCTTCACTGGTTACTAAACGAAAAGGTCACGTTCCACCTCAACTAATCGGCACATTCCTTTCACTAAACATCAAGGTTTTGTTATTTTGTTAAAAATTCCTTTATCTTCAGAGTATTCGCACTAGTTGAATAGCTCATCCATTGTTTAAAATTTTTGTTTAGGAAGTAAAAAACGAAGACAAGAAGTCTGGAAAAGGTCGGATTTTTGCCAAAAGAGCTATGATAAAGAAGGAACGGGCTAACAAAACTGCGAGAAAGGTGGAACAGTTCAACCTTTCAATCACAATTTATGTTTAATTTATTTATTTAGTTATTAATTTGTTCATGCGTGCAGTTGACGCGCCTATAAAGAACTAACAATAGAAAACACTATGGTTAGTCAATGAGGACGGTAGCCCTATTATCTTCACGAAACTATTAAAAACTACAGTATAAAAGGACTACTGCAACATTTTACTGGATATGGGAAATGGTGTTGTGTAAATTACAAGCTTTCTAGTTTGATATTTTTTAACGTTTTGAGCACAGGTTTATTGTAATGATTGCCACGACCTTACAACATTTGTTGTGACACTTGGAACAACATGATTGCTCACAAGTGCAACTTCTAACACTGCTATTTTCAGTACAAGAAGCAGCTTGATAAACTGGAAGCGGATTTGAAAGAACTCGATGCAGCGGAGACGCTATCTACGAAACTAAAAACGGTAATTGCTCCCAAACTCCAACTTGTTTTTGAAACATGATGTGTCGTATCGTTTTCATTTCTTTATCTCTGCTTCCTCATGTATTACGGCATTGTTTCGCATGGCGCGATAATCACCCTATACTTTTTAGGCCACCGAAACGATGAAACACGTATTCCAATGCTATTTTTCTGTTTTGAAACGAGTTCCAAATGTAGCTCTACTCGAACCTGTACTCGAGGGCCTAAGCAAGTTTGCTCATCTTTTGGGAGTAGAATTTTTCGAAGACATAGTATGCACTATGGAGAAGCTCGTGGACAAGGAGGTATAATCGCATACCTGTTGACCATATTTCAAACGTGTCTCACATCTTTGTCGTTTTCAGCACTTGAGAATTTTGGATCCAGTTGTACTGCATTAATACTGTTTTTGTTATCTTATCTGGAGACGGTCAACTTCTGAACATCGACCCCTCAAGATTCTACCGTTCAGTTTATCGCTTGCTGAATCAGTTACCTTTCGAAAAGAAACCAGGTGAGGGACTGTTACAACCGAAGGTCAACCATTCCTCAGTCATCGCCATTAGGCTGAAAAAGTGCTCGCTAGTTTTTTTACCCGCCAAAGTCGGTCTAGGAGCTAGTTCTGAAAGAGCTATCTGGACTTTGCTTACACAAAAACTGACTAGTTGTTACTGATATTCCGGCCGTTTTGCGACTAATGATCGGCTAGAGTTTTTCATTGCAGAAATCAGGAAAAAGCACATGGTTGTGGTCTCAAAGGCTCTTGATTCAATGATCAACGAAAGGCGGAAACAGGTCAGTTTAAGAAATCCTTTTTTCATCCAGCCTACTGTAATAAAACGGACCAATTTTGTTTCTTAGTATAGTGCTGTCCCGGAGCCTCATTAGGACCTAAATATTGTGTAACACAGGGAGGCACTAAAATTGTATTTCAAATGAATTATTTTTTAAAATCACGTTGGTATTAGTAGTTAGTAGTAATTGCACGGATTGAAGTTACTGCGTAGAAGCCCGATCATTCCTTTTTTACTTTTCGATTATGGCCTGTCGGTAGCTGTTTTTTGTTACCGTATCCGAAATATTTGCAGCTGCCTTTGTCACGAGTGGCTGCCTTTGCAAAACGCATTTTGGCAATAGCAACTGTCATGGATGATCCCTCTGCATTGTGTCTCGTTGCTCTCGTACGGAGTTTTTTCATTGTACGTTGTCCCAATTTAATTGTTCACGGCAGTATCGGTTCAACTAATGTTTTTTTCGAGTAATTATTCTAGGCTCATGGAAAACTCAATGCAACTGGTGGAAGAAGATGACTCAGAAGGCGGTGCTGGAGGCATTTTCCGCAGTGACATTGACGATCCAGACGTGTCTAATGCGATTGGTAGCACTGTGCGACCCGAGCTCAAAATGTTGGCCGGTAGGACCTATACGAAGTTATTACGGCAGAACTTTGAGCAGTGCTAGGTGACCTTTCATAGAGCGCCTTGTCATTTGTGATATGGTGGCACTGATTGACGTGTCTTTAAGTAAGTTTTGAAATTTTGGTAATCACATTGAGTTCAGCGACGACATCGTTCACTGAACCAGATTGCCCAGAACATCCTCCATTCGGTTCCATCAACAGGCCCACTGAAGCTCAATCCCCAGCTGACATCTATGTGAGTGCCGCATTGGTTTTTTAGGTGATATACAATCACATAGATTATAACTTGTTGAATGAAGCTCCGATAAGGTTTCCCTTAGTTGCTTATTTTGAGATAGTCATGTTTCTTTTCACATTCTCTTTCAGTAAACCGTGGGTGTTAATGGAACGTGACATTGAGGAAGCTGCGGGTAATCACCATCGCTGAAGTACCTTGAGGATATCCAAAAATATCTAAAGGTATGTTTTTTATGTGGGCTTATGGGTATTATCGGAATTTTGGCAAGGATTTTGTTCAATCGATAGGACACGTGGTTGTTTTCCTGTCTAACACTGAAATTTGTGAAGATTAGCCTGAGCTGCTGTGATTGTTTTACTCCTTTAAAAGGCTAGTCGCAGTCAGCCGGTTTTTGCGAGGTCACCGGAAATGGGCATTTGGACATACTAATAAGTTTCGCAACCGTTGAATAAAGTGGTGGCATTTTCAACATATGAATGAAAAAATAGGATGAAAAGGATTCTCTGTTGTCGAGTGTGGTTCGAGTCAACATCTTGCTAGCACAAATGTTATTTTTCCAAAGATTACAATTCAGAATTCTAATTCAAAAATGGATGATATGTAAATATTCGAGTTCGTATAGGAAGAAGGCATAATTCGGACCCATTCAGAGGTTGCGACCTGCGAGCCCTCACTGAAATGTAGAGCAGGGTTCTGCGATATCTTATAGTATTTTGGGCAAATAAGGGCCATGCTCACGTGACTCTTGATCAATCTTTTGCAGCATATATCGCCAAAAATTTCACATTTTCAGAAGCGTCAGCAAGAACTAACACCAAAGAACCTTCAATTTCACATAGAGAACTGGTTACAGAGTAGACCTTCTTGAGTTTTTTTTTTATCATGTAATTGTAAGTTGTTTTCACTTGTTGTTGTCGTTATTGTTGTTATATGATCACAATGTATAAAAATTGAAAGCTTTTGTTCTTCCGCAGGGATCTACCAAATAATCTATCATTCACTAACTTTTTGCTCTCTGCAGCTTCAGCTCTGGCACCATAGCTAGAGGCTCCGTATTTGATTTCCGTTGTCCATTGGCAGGATCAAACGTGCGTTCGAACAATTCGGACGGCTCTCCGTCACTAGGGCAGGCTTGTTGGCGAAGATCACAGCGACGTCGTCATTGGTTGGCGGGGAGTAAGGCTGTCAGGAACATGGACCACTTTGAACCACAGGCGGGTGCGCGGCGCGCCCAAGAAAGGATTCGTTAGCATCGAACGCTCAAAATTTTATCAATTGAAGCGAAAAAATTTTCAGTTCCGATGCATCCATACCAAAGTGAAATGTGCAGAGGTAAGGTTGAGCATTTTATGCTTGATGAAAATTTATTACTCGCATGATCTAAGGGTTTCTTCAGAACACAGCAGCTGATTTTTAATTAAATTTCATAGTTTTCAGAAATTCCTTTCTTTCTCCACAGCAAGCACTTGAAGGAACTACTGATTGTTGCATGCTCAAATCGAAAAACTTAGAAAACCTACTTTCGAGAGAAGAGCGAGAGCGAGCGAACTTTCGAGAAGGTAACATTGAAAACCATTGGGCTCGAAACCACTGTTTTTCATGCCAAAAGGGAAATCTGTCACAAAAGATTTTTGGCGACGTCCCCTCTCTACCCCGAGGAGGAATTCACGATAAGAACGAATCAAGAAGGGGAAAATTGCATAGTTGGGAGACAGGCGGACCTCCTGAGGGTGCTGACCGACGCGCAATTGGCAGCGAAAGATTTGACCTCGGCGATCTAGCATGGCTCACTCTTGGCGCGGTTGGCGGGGTACGCCCACCGACTATCTAATCACTCGCCGCAGGTCTATACGTGGCGAGTGATTAGATAGCAGAGAGAGCGTAGTGTTGAAGAGGGCACAGCGATGAGAGTCGCATCAATGCGCAAATCAACGGGCAAGGAAGGGGTCCCATTTCTCGGGTTTGGGCCGTTTCAAATGGTTTCTTCTTCATCCCTGCTCCACTGACCACCTCTACCCTTATTTCCAATGAGCTAACTTTTCATCGTGAATTCTGCCTTTAAGTATTCTTGAGAGAGCTCAGAGCGGGTGCTTTGCTTCCAATTTGAAACTTTCCACTGAACTAAAACAAAGGCGTTTTGTATCGTTAAATCCCAAACTCTATTCGCACGAAACAAGTGCGTACGGGCTTTTTTTTCTTAAAAAAAATCAACTTCCTGGAAGTTTGGTGTCTACTCGAGAGAATCACTAGATTCTCGTTCGTCTTACAGCATCACAAGAGGCCGCATTTGAAAACATTTATGACCTTGAGAAGAATAACTGCGCAGTGGGTTGCAGTGAGTGTACCGAAATTTCTATTTGTCACTTCATACTAGAAGGGCGCTCTGCACTTATGATAAATCTGAAAGGTTTTTGAAGACTGAATCTCTGTAGATTAAATATGCCTCCAAATTCTAGAAAATATCGAAGTTAACGGAAGTTATACATTTTTTAAGAGTTTTACTTCACGCTTTTATAGGGTTAGTACTGCGTGGGGTTGGTCCAATGAGGAATCACTCTATGTTGTCAGTTATTGGGGACTTGTGAAGCCTTTTCAATGGCACCTTGCGGTGGTCAAGTGGTAATTCACGATGAATCGGGAAAAAGTGCGGAGGGTGAGAAAGAGCGTATACATCTAGAGCTCGTAAGAGTACGTTATGATGAAGTCGTATCTACCCTCTGTTTCAGAAAATCAAAGGTGCTTCAAGTGCAGACCAACACCACAAGTGACGACGGCCTTCAAGTAAATCTGGTGACCGGTGATTCCTAGTGATAGCTGATAGTGTTAATTAGTGATAGCTGATGAAACAATTGAAGACTAATGGTGAAGACCGTCGTTACTTGTGGTGTGTATTCTGACTCGACGCGCTTCTGGTTTTCTGAGACGGAGGGTATGTTTGTTCGTACAAAGGGTCCAATAACGTCAGGCCGAGATCTGAAGAATCATCGGAGGGGATGCGTAGGCGATGATACTCTATGCATATAGTAGTACAATTTCCGTGCTATGCATCCGGGTTTTCCATGAGACAGTCGAGGTCAGTATTAGCGTCCGTAGTGCCAACTTCATTGAGAGGGGCTTATTTGTGAAAAAAGTAAGGGAGTCTCAATCTGTAAAATAATCAGAATTCGCTGTTTCAGTAGTCACTTATCCTACCGTACCCCCCTCCCCC